CCTGCGGAGCGACCTTCTCCACCTGGTACGCGGCGTAGCGCACCATTTTCAAGCCCTCCGAGTTGTTGGACATTGTACAAGACAGATGAGCGACCTGAATGGCAATAAGACATCTCACAAGAAAGAAACACTACTCTACTTACCTCGGTTAATCTTCTCGAGTGTTCAAGAAACTCGGTGCCGAGAGTCTCGACTGCCTTCTGATCGCCCCTGCGAGCTGCTTCTATGAGAGCCTCAAGAGGTACCTGCGTATCCATGAAATTGTCAGACACGTGATCGATGACCGCTCGTCGAAGATGTCGACGAAGGTCCTTTGTTTTCTGACCGACGTGAACCAACGCCAGATCCAAGTTCTCGCTGGTCTCTTTCTGACCGGCCTGCAAAACGCCGCAAAACTGTCCAGTTGAAAATCCAATAAACGGTTATTAACTCGTTACATAAAGCATGAATACCATTTGGATAAAAATTCTTTTGACATAATGCACGTCTTTTAAAAAAACTTTCTTAAATCTTTTCGCTACGCAGTACTCGCCTTTGTGCCGAAATCACAACTGCAGTCGTCAAATAGGTATCTAACGGGAAATCCTTGGCTGAATGACTTCTATTCAATGAACTGTGTCACCAATCGACCCCGGCTTTGGTCGAAAAGATTTCAAGTGGGGGGAATGAGGTGGAAAGAAACTTGTATTAAGTCGAAGATTATTCTCGAGACAGATAGCAAAAAGGCCGGAATACGACATGGTAAAAGTAAATAAAACCGTGCCAGAGGGCCACGACATTGTCAAGGCCAAACTTTGCTGCTTGATACACAAATACATAAAAAAGCATATAAAAGAAAAAATCTAAGTGCAAGTTCCATGTCTTGATTGAACATGGCCGCAAACTAGAAGACAATCAGGCATCAAAATCTAACGATTTTTCGCCTAATGCAAAATCCTGTCTATACGTTTAATGTTCAGTAATCGTACTTTCCATTAAACAAACCCTTGTACAAATTCAGATCCCTAAATTTCAATCAATATACTAATAATCAATTTGGAAATAATGATAAAACACTTAATTTAGCTGAAAAAGTACTAATCATCCGACTGAAATCAAAATAATGGAGTTGACTTTTACCCATTGTGTTTACTGAGTTATTTAGAAGAAATTTACTCAGTAAATTTTGTAGACAGGAATGAAACAGGACGCCATTTCACTTGTTCTCTTAACAAAGAATCAGAATTGACTGATATAAGTTTAATATGCAGTTGTCAGCCAACTTACCTATTGTACTAGCTAACCACTTAAGAACGAACAAAACGATGAATTCGATTTTATTAATATATACATATACATACTGATTTGTTCATTGAACTCCCGAATTTATTGTATACAGCTTAATGTAATTTCAAAACAAAAGTGTTGATACTAAGATTTTACGTGAGAGTGAAACTAGCATTTGTCAAAAATTAATTAGAGGCCCTACCAACTAAAATCAATTAAGATAAGAGGGGCATCAAATCTGACATTTTTTAAGGGATTGATGAAAATGAATTATTGTTATACCTGAATTTACTCAGGTGTGTAGGAGCAAGCTCTGGCTTCTTTCTTAACTCGCCTCAAATAATGAACGGAATGTGTATCTCTGTCGAACTTCCCAGTCTTTGACTCTCCAAGACAACCGCAAATTTATGTATCTAAGACTTTCGATTGTGATCAAACGGTCGCTAAACAGACCTCAAGAATATTTTAAAAGACGGTCGAGACTCACATTCCGCTCATATTCAGCTAGCAAATCCTGGAGGGCTTGACGAACGGCGTTACATTCCTGCACGATTCGGTTCTTGCGATCATCTCGAGTGAACTCGCTGTCCGCGATCAGCGCCGCCCCACTGATAATACGTTCCAACTGCTCTTCCAAGGACGGTCGAACTTTGGCGTTGTAACACTGCGGGTCGATGAACACGCTTTGCTAATAAAAGTGATCAGCGGTCAAAAGCAAATCTCGCTAAAAATAT